TCCCCCCTCTCTCTCTGCTTTCCCTCTCTCCCTCTCTCTCGCTGCTCTTCCTCTCTCTCGCTGCTCTTCCTCTCCTACCCATCTCCTCCTGCTCTTCAGCGCCGTTTTCCCGCTATTTCCGCTGATATCGAGCGGTGCGGGCTGCGGGGGCTCCGAGCCCGAGCCTCGTTAGCGTGGCACAATGTGCGCCTTGTGGCTTCAGGCGGTGCCGCGGACCAAGATAGGGCTTTCGGCACGACGGACGAAATGACAAAAAAGGCCGACCAAAGGATTTCGCCTCGCATTTCACGGCTTTGTACCGGTGGGAAGTAGGAGGCACTCCATTTCCACCTAGTACAAACGCCGCATCCGAGAAAATAAACTATAGAATCAAGAGTGTAGTTCCGGAATCACTACTGAAACGTGATTTGAACTAAATAATGCAACCTGCATTTTAGTGAGGCAAGAAACATATTCTTGATTTGAGTACATAATTTTAGATGGATACGCCTTTCTTCTACAATCTTAGTTCCGTGTGAAGGGACTTCTTTAAAATATGAAGAATTCTGTTCGTAACGTAGAGTTACAATACTTCACTTCTTGTTAATATGAACAGCCGGGCTGTATTACAAACGTTGCCTTTATTATTGCAATCCTGCCACTTCATATAACAAATCCTTTATTTGCTTTAAGAACGATCGAAATTCTTCACTGGTGTTCCCATATTTTCTCCTGATCCTGAGGAGCTCTATTGGCACAAAAGCCCTCCAACCCCCTGCTGCGCTCCATCATTTACAAATCCCTGTCACCCACTACAACCTGGAGGATAACAAACGGAGGAAGATAAAAACGGGGCGCGAAATTCTGTTCAAATTTACAGGGTTTTGTTTTTCTGTTAAAAGATAGACTGAGTGAGTGAGTGAGTGAGTGAGTGAGTGAGTGAGTGAGTGAGTGAGTGAGTGAGTGAGTGAGTGAGTGAGTGAGTGAGTGAGTGAGTGAGTGAGTGAGTGAGTGAGTGAGTGAGAGACAGAGAGGGGGGAGGGGGGTCACCGGAGAGTGCAAGAGGGTGTTTGGTACCGGGTTTCTACGCCCGCTGAGGGTCTGAGGGTGCGCTGAGTTGTTGTGGTCCCGACCTGGAAAGGGGGGTAGCGTTCCGATAAAGGCGAATGGGGTAGCAGAGGGGTAGAGAGAGAGAGAGAGAGAGAGAGAGAGAGAGAGAGAGAGAGAAGGGGGAAGGGGGGCATAAAAATGAGACGGGACGAGAACGAAAATGAGGAGACACAGCAGATTAAATTAAACAAAGCGAGTGGTGGCTGTGAGTGTGGGGTGGGGTGGGAGGGTCGGAAGGTATGGAGCGTGCGATGAGAGTGCGTTTGTTGGTGTGTAACTGGGAGAGGGAGTCGGCAGTGATTGCGGGATAGAAAAAAAAAAGAGGAGGAACACAAAGGCCCCAAAAGGCAGCCGGTCCGGTCCAGGCGGATGTTAATAAAGCTTTGTGCGCGGCTGATACCCGCTGCAGCTGAGAGGGGGGGGGGGGCGCCCAAGCGCCCTGCTGTGCCGCGGAGTGCGCTCGTCGCGCTCATCTCCAACAGGAGCTACCTTATGACAATAAGTAAGTGATCCCCTTGCGCAATAAGGACCATACCTTAGGCGTGCATCCCTGTCACTGCTGGAAGATATCCAGTTAGCGTAAAAGTGAGGAAAAGTGAGAAGTGAAGTGAGGCTGGGCGAAGCCGAGCGAGGAAGCGTAAAAGCGTAGAAGTGAAAAGCCGGAAAGTGAAAAGCGAAATAGGGTGTGTTCAGATAGAGGGTCGTTTTAGGTGGGTTTGGGTCGGTATCACCGATTGGCATGCCGCATGTCATCAGAAAACAACACGATGACGTTAAATTACAGAGAATTTCGCGTCTCAACTCAGAACCGAGTGCAACTTGATTACTTGCTCATGACTATATTTCGTGCTTATATTGTAATTTTACACTCGGAGACGCAAAGTTCGCTGTATTTTAACGATCTCGCGTTATTTTTTGATGACAACCCACCCAAAACGACCTTTTTCCTGAACACACCCTATTTCGCTTTTCACTTTCCGGCTTTTCACTCCTACGCTTTTACGCTTCCTCGCTCGGCTTCGCCCAGCCTCACTTCACCTCACTCGGCCTCACTTCACTTCTCACTTTTCCTCACTTTTACGCTAACTGGATATCCTGGGCGTCTCAGTCACGTATAGTCTCCCATTCTTAATGGACCATTATTTTCATTATAAATAACGTTTTTTCGACGTTATAAAACGGCCGTATGAGAAACTTTGTCTTCCCTTGACAAAAAGGTCGAGCTTGTTGTGTAAGTTAGGTAGAAATGTGTCCAATAACCTTCAGGGTAAATAAATGCTAACATTATATCAATCTGTGTACACCTCTTAGTAGCGAGAGGAGGAATTTGTCACACGTGCAAGACAAATTAATCCATAGAGGATTGAGCGTGCGAGACCCGGTCGAGACCGCAGGGTAAAAGTGACTGCGCACGGAAACTACAACTTTTCCTTCGCAACCAAGCCGTTTTCCCATCGAAAATTCCCACTTCTGCTGGAAACCATGCAGTCACTTTTCTCGTGTGAGCCGCCCGGACCGAACCTTAGACGAGGAAAAACAGATTATGGCCAAGTATGACCACTATTTGTTTCAGCAGCACGAACCTTACGGACTGAAAAGTGTCCACCACAACCGTGGTTATTGCAAGGTTCCTCGAATTGAAACACGACGCGAGGAAGAGCTCAGAACAGTATGAAAGACGCGTGGAATTCCACATAGAGAGAGAGGGGGGGGGGGGAGAGAGGAGCGGGTCGTAGATTGCTCAGCAGCTCGCAATGCCCCGCAGTACGGCTGCGCGCCACAGGAACCGGTTATGAGACCGGAGTTCATTAACACACGAAGGCACACTGGGTGTGTACGAGAGAGGACACGTGTTTGAACGAGTTCTTTCAACTAACTCATACCGCTCAAGAAACATTTTGCAATAAAATAATACTCGCCGCGGAGCCTAAATTTGCGACACTGTTAAATAGTCGTAGATTTACGGGAATATTATAATTTGAAATCGCAAATGTACAATTACAGCACTTGGTATCGACTTAAAATTGATCGACAAGCAAAAATAGGCTTTTCCAAACTGGAACATAATTTTTAAATAAATTTAACAAATGTTGTAAATTTACGAGGATCACAGTCGATACTTTTAAAACGAGCTGTATTTACAAGTGTTTAACAAATTCCATGGTTTATTCTGATTCGCATTTCCGGGTTTGATATAATAGCCTTACTGCAGAATGTAATGAAAAGAAAATTAATTTTAGTAGTGTGGTGTTAAAGTACCGCGAACTGGATATTACAGTTGTATTGAATACTAATTCCTTCTGATTTTATTTTCATTGCACTGACTTCTTGACTTGATTTGATCCCTATCGAGGAGTTGAATGGAACGGGAAGGGAATGGGCCGAAGTCCCCCCTCCCTTCTGGGCCAAAGCCGTGTTATTGGCAGCTCCGCTCTTTTAATCCAGCACTCTCTCTCTCTCTTTAACTTCTAATCCCCCCTCGCCCCACTCCTCTATCGGCCACCCCTCCGTCGCCACCCACCCACCCCCTCTTCCTCTACAAATAAGTAGATAGTAAAAGCGAAGCAACAGGACGGTCGTTTCCCTCAAAATGACGTCTTTTCCGCGATCAGATTTCCTGCGTTGCGTCGTGGGAGATAACGCC